TTATAGTATTCATGGCTCTAGTTGGCAGTTACGTCCCTGCAGCAGAGGCAGAGATTGGAGAAATTGATGGGATTTACACAAGAATACATAGTAGGGAATCAGTTTCTGTAGGGCTCTCTACTTTCATGATTGATCTTAACCAGGTTGCCAAGGCAGTAAACAATGCCACAGAGAGGTCCTTAGTACTTATTGATGAGTTTGGCAAAGGGACCAACACACTGGATGGCCTGTCTCTTCTGGCTGCTGTCCTGAGGTACTGGATCAGTCAAGGAACCCAGTGTCCGCAGGTCTTTATCTCCACTAACTTTCACAGTTTAATGCAGCTAGAACTCCTGCCTGACACACCTCTTCTGGAGTTCCTGACCATGGAGACCCACCAAGATGGAGATGAGCTGATATTTTTCTATCAGATCAAACAGGGCATGTCCACTGTTAGTCATGCTGCCAACATTGCTGCATTAGCAGGAATGCCAGCAAAAATTATACAGAGAGGAGTGGAAGTGTCAGAACTGATTCGCAGTGGAAAAGCTATCAAATGTATTGATCACCCTTCAAAACAAGATCGTATGGAAAAATGCAAGTATGTTGTGGAAAAGTTTCTTTGCCTAGACCTTGATGATCCCCATGTGGATTTAGAAGAATTCATGCATAAAGAGGTGCTGCCTTCTGCAGCCTCAGTCCTGTAACAGGGATTTGTGTAAAAGTATGGTTTCTATTTTATCTACCACCTTCAGTAGAAGAGTTTGGTAATTTAAAGAACCATCACTATAACCAACACCTCACACTACATTTAGCATGTAACAAGCTGTCTATAGTGTATGTCTTTTTCTCTTCTTGTTTAGAACAAGTACTGTAATGACATATCTCTGTAGTATGGTGTATGATACGAAAGCAGAAAAACTGAGAGAATTCAAGAACCTCTTCCAGCTGTTCAGTCACCCAGTTTGTGTATTTTCTGCCCCTGTTGTTAGACCTTCAGATTAAATAAATACTGTAGAAAAATCAGAAAACATTTTTGCTGGTCTCATAAGACTGAAAGCAAAGTGTTTATTGTTTTGTGTTGTGCCCAAGTGATCATTTCAGTCGTTTTAGGATAAGTATCAAAGTTTCCAAACAAGTATGTGCCTGAGACTCCCGTACCAGTTGTCACAATATAAACCACTGATGTGGAGGCTGATTAGTGGAACTATAAAGGGATGTAATGAGGGCTGCACTTTTTTCTATACCAGCACTTATGTCCAAAATGCCAGAGATCCCAGGAGCTGGAGGTCAAAATCAATGCAGACTGATAAACAAGGGTACTGCTTTGGTTTTACTGACAATCACTCTCTTCTCATAAGGTCCTATATGGTACAACTATGTATCTATACCATATGGGTATAAATGAAAGCAAAACTGCAAATCTAGGAAACTGGAAAACTAAACTAGTAATGTAAGACAGAAATTCACATTTTGTATTCCATTTTTGGGTATTGAGTAAAACTTAATAGTAAAGGAATAATACCAGAAGGTGAAGATTCCTTTTCACTTCTCTTGTCATGCACAGCATCTTTACTGAACACAGGATTTGATGTATACATTAGCAATAAGAATTATTTAACAAATTAATGAAGCAGGGGACATGATATGTAAATACTATAGAAGTAATAACCTTTCCTGCCTGAGATTCCTTATCTAAGTAATATGGAAGTAACATTAGTCTGACTCCCAAAATTTGCTATAAATGCTTACAGTATGGCTAATGAAACACATCACCAGATATACTACATCTCTCTTTAGCTATGTTTGATTTCAAGAAGCCAAAAATATTAATGTCACAGTGAAAATTTACATTAGAAAAAAGTAATTACCTTCATATTTATCAGTATTAAATATCTTATCTGGTATGTCTAGCTGAAAATAGCAAAATATGAAGGTGAGTGCACATCAAAAAGATTTGAATTTGGATACACTTTTTTGGGTTTGATTCAGTGTAGAATTTCCTCCTTTGTAATGGAGGAATTATTACAAAATAAGTACCTTGTGTTATCTCTATAGGAAACTAGGAGCAAATGTTTAATATAATTTATGTTTAAAAATACACAAATTAATTTTTTAATCATGTGGTTACTGCTCTTTCCAGCACCATCATCCTAATACCATCTGCAAAACAGTATCTAGCATCTTGACAATGTTACCATTGAAGTCTAATGCCAACAGTGAATCAGGTCTTGTACAACATCTGCCAGTGTTGTAAATACAGATTTTTCTCACTAACATACTATCTTCTACTAATTATGCATACAGCATTCTAAAGGTATACTGAAGAATATAATATATTAAATATTCATTTTTATTATTTTTTTTTTTTTCCTGTTGACCACTGTCTAGGCTAAGGATAGCAGATGCCATCAGAGCAGTTCAGCTGTCAGTCATCTACTTAGGAAATTTCACAGTATTTGCACTAGGCAGCACTAGGTATCAAAGAATCTGAAATGTCAGAAAGCATTTATTAAGTGTGCCTCACAAGACACAGCAGTCTGGATGAATGACAGCGGGGCTGTGACTGACCTGTGGCAACACGGTGAAGCAGGAATAGCAATGTTATCTTTAAGTGCAAAACTCAAGTTGTTTCTTTCATTGTGGTTTATTAGGTTCTTTGTATAGCAGATGACACCAACCCAAGATTCTCATAATTCAAACAATCAATTGTGGAAATTGCTGGACAATTGTAAGCAAATTATATCCCTTTATTTCGTTCCACAAAGAGACCTAGAGGCACACTGTACCTCCTTATTTTGGGAAGTTTTCAGTAGTGCATTTGATCTCAGAATTGTCCAGCTAAGCATGAAGAATGAGTTGCTCCCACTTCTGAGCAGGAAAGTTCTTTAATGTGAAAAGCAAAGGGGGGCTTCAGTAACCCAGATAGCTCTTCTCTAAACCACTTTATCTTACATTTTTATCCTCTATTAAAGTCTGTTCCCAAGTTTTTTGCATTTGCCATTTTTAGCTTAATGCTGTGCCTTCAAAGTAGAAAGCCAATTTCTTGAGATCTTTAGTAATTTTAAATTATCAAACTCTTTGCTTTGTAAATATCAGCAACAATTTGGGAAAGCTAAAATATGCAGAATAAATATATTTCAAAAATGCCTGAACCTTTATAAAGGTTTGAAAAAAGTAATTATTTTTTCCCAAATACAAGGGAAAAGGAAACTTACATTTAAAAAATACTAATATAGTTTTAAAGCTATAGCTGTGACCTATACTCAACTACTATAGTTCTATTTGCTATTTTATATACTTTCCCATGTAATCTTCACCCACTCTCCCTTTCTTCTTTCTCACACTGTTGTGTGATGTGAAACTGCAATTAGATATTATATTAAAACATACTACAAAACAGTTATTCCTTTTATGCTTCATGTTTTTATTTATTGTTTTCAGTAAATGCATTAATCTATCGCACTAAATGCACTGACACAATGAAAAAAAAATTACAGTAAAGACCCATGCTAATGCCTGACAGTGGATTGACAGAGAAAAAAATCACAGATTTTTAATACGTAATATCTTTCTCAATAGTATATCTTTAGAATACCATATGCATTATCCAGCATTATGGAGGACTAAAGGAGATGATTTGGAATGACATTGACCTGGTTCTGTCAGCAGCAGTGAATATCAGAACACAGAAAGTATGCATCCTGGCTAACAGTAAACCAACTAAAAAGCAGAATGGCAAAATCCCCACCCTTATTGTCTTAGATGTTTTGACGAAGGAGTTAAATTACTGGACAGTTGCTATTCTAAAAGAGCTCTGGATTTTTAAAATGAGTGTTTTCAAAAACAACTGTTAATACAAGCAAAAGCTTATGTGAGCTTCCAAATTTAGCAACTGTTACATACCACCTACAAACTGTGGACAAGTCCTTATTTCTGCTTCAGAGCAAGTATGTATGCCCCTGAAGTTTCTTGATGTATCTCAAATCTTACTGCCTTCTTCCTACTGATTTCACAATACTACTAAATTAAAATGTGCAGCTTCAGCATTTTTTAGTTATTCCTCATGAAATTACAAAGTTTTTAATGCTAACTATTAAGGAAAAAAAAACAAACACCACCTTAAAACATGTACATTATATACTTTACTTCTTATTTAAAAGTTGTTTTTTTTCCTGAAAATTATTTTCCTGGCCAACGTTAAAGGATCACATAAAACCTTCTATACAATGTCAGGAAAAAAAAAAAAGTATGGATATACACCTTATGTTAAATAATACAATATTACTGTTATGAATTAACTAGATATACTAGTGTTGCTTCTATAAATTTATAGTCACAGTTATAACCTACTTCCATGTACTTGTGTATTCTGTCAAAAAAAGTAAATAAACAAGTAATAACTAAAATATAGAAAATGTGTTTCACTGCTACTCCAAAATTCACCAAAGCATATTTAACAGAGGTAACTGACAGTCTGCATCTCATGTATAATCCAAGTATCATTTTGACTGATTATTTGCTTCTTTTCTCCTATACAGTAACAAAACTAAACTATCAAAATAAATTGTATCAAATAACCTACTCCCTAATAATAATTCTGTAATTTTGAGCAAGTACTTTCATCCTTTAGTCTTGCGTAGTTTCACCAAAGAAAACAGACCATGATATTACTGTCCTGAGAACAGACTGCTAACGTACAGTGCTACTGTTTATATGGTAGATGTACTAATTATTTTTTCTTTGAAAAAATCAGTATTTTCAAGTCTTACCTCTTCAGCTGGTTACAAAGTATGATGCTATAAGCAACTCCTTTGTTTGCTTCCCAATTAAGCTTCCTAAATTGCTGCTGAGCTATGTGAAATGTGAGCTCACCTGCTTACGTAGCTCTGGTGATTTTGACAACTTCATAAAGGTCAGATGTGGGTTAAACGCTCTATCTTCTCCTGCCAAGATGCCTTTTTCTTGAAATATCTTCTTCATGGTCTCTGAGGGGGGAGAAGAATGTAGAGGTACAAAGATATTATATGATAGAATGCTTAAAAATGTGCTTTCAACTGTCATATGAGTCACAGCTGCTCCAGGTGGAAAAAACAAGATGAGTACTAAAAGGAAGAGAGATTCCTAGCTAACTTCAAAGGAACATAGGTTCAAAGGAACAAAGGTTTCCCCTCTGTCTCCTCTTCTCCAAGCTAAACATCCCTAGTTCCCTCAGCTGCTCCTCATATAACTTGTTCTGTAGACGCTTCACCAGCTTGGTGGTTCTTCCCTGGACAAGCTCCAGCACCTCAATGTCCGTCTTCTATTGAGGGGCCCAGAACCAAGCACAGTACTCAAGGTGCAGCCTCACCAGTGTTGAGTGTAGAGGCACAATCACCTCCCTACTCCTGGTGGCCACACTATTCCTGATGCAGGGCACACTGCTGGCTCATGTTCAGCCAGCACCCCCAGGTCCTTTTCCACTGGGCAGCTTCCCAGCCACTCTGCCCCAAGCCTGCAGCTTTCCCTGGAGTTGTGACCGAAATGCAGGACCCAGCACTCAGTCTTGCTGAACCTCACACAGTTGGCCTCAGCCCATCAATACAGCCTCTCCAAGTTCTGCTGTAGAGCCTTCCTGCCCTCAGGCAGATCAACACTTCCTCCCAACCTAGTATCATCATACGTATATATACAACCATAACTGCTATATAAGTTCTATAGATGTATCTGATTCTATACATCTATGTATCTAGATCTATAGACCTACTATATATCTACAGCTGTAGCTATGTATATATACACAAGTACAGCTTCTATTTTATATATATATATTTAAATACAAATATATATAAAATAATACAAGCTGTATTATTTTAAGCTGTATCTGTAGGAAACATGCCTGATTTACACTGAATCCCCACTAAGATATTGTGCAGCTGTGCACACAAATGCTGCTGAACAACAGACTAACATATCAAAACAGCAGACTACAAATAAATGTTTCCTCCTTCTTCAAGCTGAGATACTGCAGTTCCAATTACATCATTTAGTATGGTGCACATGTATCTCCATGCATCCAACAGCCTGCTTATTTTCTGACATTAGTAAGCTAATAGTTACACTTATTTAAAACTGGAAGTTATCTGTAACAAAGCCATTTTCTGATTCCATTGTTTGGTTCTCAGAACTGCATGACTTGGGGACTAATTGACGTTGATGTTTCAGAATAGGATTAGTCTTACCACAACCTGGTGTATGCTACCCTGTGATATTCTGACTCAAGTCTTGTAAATTGTAGTCTTTTTCTTCCCCTAAAAGCTCAAATTCTTTCTGCCATCATTTCTTATGCCAAGCAGTGTCTTTCCTCTCACCCTGCAATTAAGATCTGTACTGGTGAAGATTTGCACCTCTAATAGTGTCCCCCTATCTCCATTAAGAGCTTAGTGTCAGACCAGTAGTTTGGCAACGTGCATCTGACCACATAATTTTAAGCCCAGTGTTCCCAACAGGGGAGACTGATCGCATGGCACTATTAATGTATGTTACAGTAGGGCATGTACACTTTACACTGCTGAACAGCAACCACACAGCTTTTGTGTCTTCCTCTTCTGCTAATCAGCTTTATTCAATATCTGCTTTTATTTCTCTTTCTCAATTAATTGTTGTTTTTTTTTCATACTTTTCATTCTAATCAAGAAAAAATGTAATGACAAACTGGGTCGGAGGAAAGAAAGTGTAACTTCAAAGAGAGATTGCAGTTTTGTATTTAATACATTTATGTGTGTGTGTGTACACACGTTCTCATGGTGATCAGATTTCTCACACAGCTCTGCCATGGCACAGACTTATTAAACATCACAGGATCCAGGTATTGGCCACACTTGTTGGTACTACAGATAGCCTCAATTTTGCTGCATTTGACACTTAGGCAAAGTGTCACATTTTACTGGTGAAGGTGACTTACAAACAGAATTAGCGCAATGTTTCCTTCTTCAAAGATAATGAAAAAAAAAGAAATCTGAGTAGATGGAGGAAGAAGGAAAAAAAGAAACAACAGGAAATGTTTTCCTGAGAGTACAGGAACATTAGAAGATAATGTAATGCTATTTGAAGAAGTGGCCACAAGACGGGTTTTAGAAGAAATTAGGAAGGAAGCATGGATACTGTGAGCAAGAGAAAATTCCAGGTTTATGGGACAACATGAAAGTGGATTTGAAGACTCAGCGAATACACAAAGGTTGAACTTTATGATGGAGGTTACCTGAACTGAAAGAAATTAGGGATGATGACATGAATCATAGACAGGCAATGCCCATGGGTGTTAACAAATGAGGATCTGTCACCTTTCCCCCAGACATCCATGTTACTGTCTAGACTGAAAAATCAGTTAAGATCTGTGTTTTCCTTTATTAGTCTCAGGCAATGTTTGCAGCTTCAAAGTATACCCTAGAAAACTTAAGGCTATTTTTACAAGCTCAATGACTTCCTGGAACAAATTTTTGGACAGCTTTCAAACCATCTTTCATGCAATTTAAAGTACTCTGCAAAACCATTTGGACCCTATTTTTGTAATGTCAAAATTACTGAATGTCATCAGCCTCTCTTACATTGGATGCAGCTGAATCCATTAGACAACTGTTCCCCCATAATTAAGACTTGAAATGTGATATATAAAACCTACCCAGAACAGCTATATACTGGCAAGGCTCAAAAATTCAACAGCTAGATCAATACAGAATGATTCATAGAAAAATTGCACATTGAGCCATATTCTCTGATAGAACTGGCCATCTTCTTTTCCAAAATTTCATTAGATATGGAAAGTGCTATATATGTACATTTTCTGCTAGTCTATTAATTTCCGCTTGTCTCTGAACCACGTTCACTCAATTAAAAGGCCTGGAATTTAGAAACAGTATTCTGTCTGTGTATTGAAAATGTTTACATTTGCTGTCCTTGCTTTCAGAGAACCATACTTTACATTTTTAGCTTTAAGGAACAAACGTGAAAATATCACAGAAATGTGTGATTCTGTAACAGAATGTTATAGAGAAACAAAGGCAATTAACACAGTGAATTAGCATGTCCAGTTTCATTCAGTAATACAGCAGTACTCGGTAGCCTTTAACCAGATCATAGCATGTGTTCTGTACAGAGGGATGTTAATAATCAAAACACCTCATAAACAATCTAGAAGAAATTAAATGGCAGATTCAGAGCCAGGCATGCACATGGTTAGTTTGATTTATGTATTTCACACACAAAATTACAGTGAGAATAGAAACAATGACAAACATCAAGGTGCAAAGACAAAATACTATGAGATACTGAAGATGTTTCAGTATTCCTACTACTTTAATAAATTCCTTGCAACAATTTAAAACTTCCAGTCCCACCTTACTACACAACAGCAAATTAGAGATTACCTGGTCAGTAAATGTCAAAATCCTCTTGTAAGATTTACTTTCTCTTTGCTTTATAAACAGATCCTCCACTTAACTCCTGTGATGCAAACTTCCTTTCTATTAAATCTTTATTCTTTCCCTGGTGTACCCTCTCTGTGCCTTGCTGAAAATGCCATTATGCAGCCAAAGCATATTTTTCTTCATGTGACACACATAAAAGGTGAGCTCAGAGATCTGGCAATAGAACAGTTTAATATCCACATGCAATTTATAAAACGTTGGGCTCCAGGACAAACTATTGAATAACAGTTACCTGTTGGAAGCACAAACTCATAAAACTAACTGCTGTTATACTAGGTCTTAATAGCGACTGTTCATTTTCACTGAACTGTTTGCCCCTATTGTCAGCATTTGCCTAGTCAAGGGGCCTAAAATGAAGAAAACTGTCATACAGCACAAAGCTGAATCAGAAAAAGTCACATGCTTAAAACCACATAATATCAAAATGTATGAACAGTTCTCAGGTCTACTGGAATCAGCCCTTCACGTAAGTGTGTGTTATCAGCAGGTAAGTGTGTCTTGGCTCTTGTAATGAAATAAACAAAAGAATCCTTGGAGGTTTTTTCTGCTGGTTTTATTCATCACACAATATAACATAAATATATTTGCTGACATAGATAATTATGCTCTTGAGACAACAGAACACTGCCACTTCCAACTTTACAGCATGCCTCTCTTCTTGCTGTGCATGACCCAAGTTTCTGCACTATTCAGTAAAGCTCCACTACACATATAAATAGGAACTATAACTAATAGCACACACACTAGAAGGAAATCTAAGATGTCACAGCAGTACATTTCCAATGGAAATGTTATGGATTTGGTCTAGTAGCTTTTTGTTCACATAGTACAAATCAGATGTTTTAGTGGAAAAGTACAACAGTCTTGAGTTCTCAATTTTTCCATCATGTGAAATGACTTACAAATAACTGATAAAAGGCAAAATTCATTTATCTTAGCTTCAGCCATCTGGAACTAAAGGGAGCTAAATTAACTTAAACTATTTCCCTGGGCTTTCTGAAGTCAGGACAATGTAACACACCCTAAAATATATGCTAAATGTGTGGTTTCATAATGTTTAAAGCCCATAAATGACTATCCTTGACACAACACTGCTCATCTACAGCCCCATGCCAGCCACTGCTCCTATCTTTTATGTTGATAGTCATGCAGCTGTATGTACAGTAAACCGCACTGGTAAATTGAACAGGTGAAAAATTAACTGGCAAAGATAAAAGCATTAATTTCACCACAGTTTAATTCACTATGTGGCTGCACAAACACCCCGTACAACAAAAGGGGCCAGATTGCTTTGGTATGGTGACAACAACAGCTTATGTTTGAGGAAAGCGGCAATGTACCTAGAGAAGGTGATGTTTCTCTCTCTCTAGAACAGACTGTTATGAAAAACAATTTAGTGAGATGAAACTAAATGTCATGTATATAAAACTAAAGTTAAAGGAAATGACCGGTCTGTCTAGTGTACTCCTAACTGTATTAAAATTTTTAACCCAAAAAATCAACATTTATTAAAAACAATTGACCAAAACCAAATGAAATCTTAAACAGAAGAGCAACCTTTTTGTTCATGAAATACAAGCTCCCCCTCATGGTCAGACTACAACATGCATCACTCTTCCGTAAAACCAACAAGGGCAAATCCCGTCGGTATAAAACAGGATTCATTTATTCGCTTGTATCAGGTTCAAATACCATTTACAATTACCAAAATGAAAACCAAAGCAAAGCAATTCATTACCTTTTCCAAATTCACTTAGTATTTCAAATATTCTGTAATGTAGCAAAGCCCAAGTCATTAAGAGTTTTTTAAAAATCACTGTGAAGTATATACAACACGTTTACCCCAGAAGGATTTTTTAAATGACTTGGACAAAGAGTGATTAAAATACTTCTCAAACTCCTGTCAGACCTAAAACCTTTTTTTTTCTGGCACAAACACCAATACAAAAACTTAATTTGCTTTCATGAATTATAGTTTACTTGTTATGAAATAATATTAGCACTTCCAAGAAGGCACAAAAAGATACTCTGAAATTAGCAGCAACTCAGAAGTTATGCTTATGGCACTCAGTAAGAAATCTAAAGACAGTATATCCTGAAACCATACCCTTTAAACGTTTTCAGACATTTTAGCATTTTCTTCTGGTATTGTTCAGTGTTTCAAAACTAAAACCAGGTAAAACAAACATCACTGTGTAAGTCTAGAGATTGAAAGACAAGAGGCCAAGAAACGATCCATTTGGTTGGCAAAATTAAGCACTGAAATAAGAAACATTTTTACTAAACAGCAGTGTTAAATGAAAATAATATACAGCTGTAGTTACAACTTAAGCAAAGACTGCTCACCAGTGAGTATCAGTAGTTATGCTTTACAAAGAAAACACAGGTTCACTTGTTTGCTAACTTGAGCTGTACTATAATTCTGTCTGCTAGGAAGGACTGTTAAACTGAAAAACAAAGCTCAAAATCTGATCTCATCCTGTGCTTGTCTAATTCTGCCAAAACCTGGTACACTAGTCTAAGATGTGTAAATAATCACTCATAACAAACACTTTTATTTCCTGTAGTGAAAGGGTATTTGGCTCTCTGTATTTAGCAACACAATTATTGTGGAGTTCTTAATAATTAACTATAAACTTCTCAAAATCGTAAGTTACTGTCACTAACAGAAACCATTCATCTCCTTTCACAAGAGGTACTGAAAGAGAACAAAGTTAATGAATGATCTCACTGTTTATAAAGCAGCATACATAAAATATTCTGTCACCTTTAAAAGAAAGCTAAAGACAAAGACAAGGATGAAGAAGCATATTGTTCAAAGGACTGTAGAAATACTTGGTTGATTCAATCTTTGAAATAATTATGGGATTATTTGAAACTGGAGCCTCTCTGGAAATACAAGTCCTGTTCAATTTCTACCATAGTGAATATTATAAATACTTCTCTATCAAGTCCTGCCTAAAATAATAAAGCATTGCCCAATAACAGCATAAGTAATTTGGTAAACTGAAAAGCTTACGGTCTTCTTATTCAAGGTGAATATCCGAAAAAATTTTTTTACTGTGAGAGTGACAGAGCACTGGAACAGGCTGCCCAGGGAGGTTGTGGAGTCTCCCTCACTGGAGACATTCAAAACCCACCTGGATGAGTTCCTGTGTGATGTTCTCTAGGTGACCCTGCTCTGGCAGGGGGGTTGGACTAGATGATCTCTCGAGGTCCCTTCCAGCCCCTAAGATTCTATGATTCTATTAAACCTTTCTTTAAAGTGTAAATTAAAAAACAACAAAGTTTCTGAAGGCACTTCAGAAATGAAACTAATTAATTTTTAAAGAAAGCACTGCATAAATAAAGACTCTTTCCATTTTTTCTCTGCAAAGAGATAGCGTGACAGAAGCAGTCTTTGCTATTCTGCAGAATGTCCTATATGGGTTATTGCACTACTAAAAAATGGTGTGACCTCACATTCCTCAGAGGACAAAAGATAATTCATCAATACTGAAAAAACTCTTTTTATTAAAGAGTCTTTCCAAGGAATAGTTGGAATTGCTGGGATGGTTTTAAAGGACATAAATGAATTACAGACAGTACTGTTCTCTGAGAATTTTTAGTTACTGTCCGTAAACAATATAGTTTAAGTATAGAGTCAACGACAGATAAAAAAACTCCACTAACTTTGTTTTGGTCTAGGTACTGACTGGTGTTTCTCAGCTGATATTTATGCTCCTTTTACTTTATTTATTCCTACTGACTTGAACCACATTTTTGGATGTGTTTTATCTGGCTGGCAAAGGCAGAGGCCTCAGCTCCACTGGTAAGACTTAGACTTTTGCTCTTGAAGTGAACACAAAGGTGAGTGCACATGCATAGCAGCATGTACCTGCCACATCATTCAGTATCCTCCTAATTGCTAAAGGAAGGCAATTAACATTGAACAAGCCGCAGACCAGTTCTACAGCTACTCAAAAAAACCTACTTCAGGCTAAAGGAGCATGGAATCCAACTCCACCCCTCTGGCAGAGGAGTCATGTCCTACACCCTTATCCACTTATACATGTGGGAGTGGTAAATTACAGTTAATTAACTGGGATTTGAGAGTGATGTGTGTAACATACAGGAAAAACAAAACTTACAACTCCCCTGACCATAGAAAGGTGAAGAATGTCACCACCCCTCAGTGCTCTACTGAGCATGAACAGAAAGGAGAGAACTACCTAACTTTGCAAGTCAGGTAACTTGCATCAAAGATAGAGTTCCTGAAGTCAGCAAGTATGAATATACAAATTGAAAGGGCTATAAATATCAGCTGAGAAACAGCACACGGCACCTGGACCAAAACAAGGTGGAATGGACTCCTTATATTAATCTACAAACCGGCATTACATTGTTTACAAATAATAAATAAAAAGCTATCAGAGAACATTACTATCTAATTAAGGAATATCCTTTAGAACAATGCTGGGAAATAAATCATGTAGCCTTTGCAGTTGATAAAAGTAAATTAATACTGACTTCATTAGCAGCCTCTATGCAGCATTCTCATATAGGTTTTCAAAAAGTTTTTAAAGCACTTAAACCAGATTGACAAGCTGTACCTGCTATTTCTTTAAGTACATTTGTACGATCATTTTCTGCCAACTTCACAAATCCAACTTGATTTCTGAAGTGATCAATTCCTTGAAATGACAAATCCACAGTTCTTCCTTTCAGGATATCTTCTACAAAATCCTTGCTGTCTAAAAGAGCACCAACTGCTCTGTCAAGAGAAAAGAAAACATCTATGTGAAAGTCAATAATATTAATATTTTTTACATTTCTATTATTCATTCAATCAAAAAATATCACAAAGCTTCAAAGTATCCAATTATTATCTACTCAAGTACTTTTTCACTACTTCCTATCAATGCATTCAATATTAGTATTACCATTTTATAAAGGCAAAGTGGTTCATAAACCCTGCTGTAAAACCAAAGAAGTAGTAAGGCAAATTCAGCAGCAGATGTAATTCCTCAAAAGTTTATCTCAACCTATTGAAACAAGATACTTAGAAGCATTTAGCTTTCCATTCTTATATTAAATCACTCTTTTCATCTCGATTGCTTAACTGAACAGTCTAGGATTTTGCTTCATTCAAAGTTACTAGAGTGTTACTTAATATTTAACAAAAGTTAGTGACATATAGATAATGATAAAATTATATAGAAATTACTTTTAAGCTCATTGAGAAATGTTATTAAAAGTACTATCTAAACTGATGCTTACTTTATTTAAGATATAAGTAACATGCACATATAATCTACATATAACTTAAGAAACAGGAGCAAATCTGGAACATTCTAATAATTTTAATTAGCCATATTAAATGATGTATGATTTCATTAAATGTTTTTGACCTGCACTTGAAGTGATTCACATGATAAACAGAAACTGTATAAACATTCTTAGTGTCTCCTAAAAGATGTCTCACACGCTCACAGGTTTTTTATTCTATTCAACAAAGCTGAATGTAAACTTTTCATTAAACCGATGTTGACTTAATAAACGCTAGGTGGCAGTGACAGGTTAAAAACTGTCCAGATAATTCATTTTCCTTTTTCTGTCCTAGCTGTACCAAACCCCTAAGGAATGACTTCTGAAGTAGGCTAAATTATATTATTTAAGCCTGTACAATTACAAACAACTTCACACGTTTCCATTGTGTTTAACAAGATGGACTCCTGATGAAAACTATGTAATGCACTGAAACCTAGACCAGGTTAAGCTAAGGTTGATTACATGATAAAATATTCTGGATTTGTATAGTCCTCCTGTGTTTTTATGGGGCTTTAATCTACAACCTAGAAGTACTTCAGGTCCTATATAACCACTTTAAATAACAATGCCACTACTTGTAATTTGATAAAGATATTTATTATTCTTTGAGTATAGTCCATGCCTCTTACCTACCCTTTTATCACCATTAGACAAGCCTGTTCCTATGTCTCCCATATGTGCTATCTTCAAGACCTTTCAAAAACATCATCTAATGCTGATTATACCTGTCAGATTACTTCACAGGTAATCATGTAGATTGATTTACTGGCATGAACCTAAACACTGTTCGGCAAATACATATATTTCAAATACACTGTGCCAAAGATTGCAGCAGACTTTCAGGTAATGAATCATGCACATACCTAAAATTAATCTCTGGATGTTCTGCATCTGAGAACTAGTACACAGAGAGTCATGAAAAACTCTGTTCCCCAGCTGAAAAAAATAATTATATTTCAATACTGTAGGGTGTGCTGCAGAACTCACTGACCAGCTAAACTTGGATGAGATCTGTGAAAGGTCAATTCAAGCACCACACTGCGTTTTCAGTTTAGCAATGTGTCACTCTAGATTTAGTGGTACTTTTTTCTTTTGTATATCATCTTGTAAACACTTAAAATATTTAGAAAAAGAGTTGTAATCTCACTCTAGTATATTTTGTATTTTCATATCCTATCAATCACTTTATAAATTCTAACAATTGCTTTGTAAGAATAATGCACAAGGACAAACATTTCCAGTGAAGTCAATAGCAACAGACACAACAGTGGTATTTTCTTGTTATTCCATAACAATTAGTATTTAGGATGCCAAATAGTAGTTACACTCAGTGCAACTAACCCACAGGGATAACAAAAAAGTTTACAAGCATTTAGCTCCAAAGTGGAGAAAGGAAATTTAAAAAAGAAAATTGAGCAATATATTCTAAGTGAATTACAAGAATTACAGAAGTCCCTCTTTTTTTTTTCTATATTGTTGTAATGTCAATATTATAGTACTTAAATTTGAGGTAGTTTCTTTTTAGAAGTTTCTGAATTTTGATTGCTTGTTAGAAAAAGCAACCTTGCAGAAAAAGACAAACTGAATCCTTTCAGCTGTTGTATTTATACTGAAAAGGTTAGATTGACAAAGTCTTTGACAGATAACAAGCATGGAGAACTTGACACTGCAATCTGGTACTGAAAGCATCTACAGCAGAGGCAGGCATCCTGATGCCTAGTACCTGATCCCATGACTGTGCATACAGTTAGCATGGACTAGAGCTTTTGCTTGAAGGGAGTGCTGTCCTGACTCTTGCTTGCTTGCTTTCTTGATGGTTTTTAAAATCTCACATTCTTGATTTCATATAGTCCTACAAAGAGATGTACAGCACATTCACAAAGGCTAGACTTACAGCCCATCAGTCAGTTAGAAAACTCGCATGGGAAATGCAAGTCTGGATTCCCTTAGAAAGAAAGTCCTAGAATACAGATCTTCCATTTTCATGGTGAAAGCTGCATGTACTAAAATACCACACAAAGGGCTTTGTGCTGAATTAAACTTTTTGTTTAGCACATTCTTATCATGTATTTTGAATTCAAATAGCAGTCAACACATTTAATCTCTGTATAGACCAAAGCATTGTTGTGCAAAAAACAGTAGAAAAACTATAGATACCTAAGTAACTTAATGGATCCAAACCTAAGTATCTCTGAACTCTTGAGATGCCCAGTTGACTAGCTGCACTGGATCTTGCCTTCTTCCCATTAAGCTGGTATCAAAAATTGGTGAAGCAAAGAAAGGAAAATTTGACTTCAAGTTCTCCCAAAAGATTAAACATAAAATATCAGTTATGAAATTAAAAAAAAAATCCCATGTAATAGAAAATGCAATCCAGAATACCTGAGGATAGCTGAGCTAGACACCTGTAGAAGGCATCTGGCCAGGGAAGGGGTGAATCACTTGGAAAGCTGCTGCTGACTACAGGACAGCTCCTGGGTGCCTGGACTGTGGAGTTCTGCTGGGAGAGGCAGAGAAGAACTCCATAAGTACATGCTTGGGTGGCAGCCAGACAGTAAGAGCTGAGAGGGAGCTCAAAGAGTAGCAGAAGATACTGAATTTGGTAATATTTGTTTTGATACACAGTTTAAGACTCTAAAAATATTCCTGATGAGGAATATTTGTCTTTGAGATATCCCTCTCACATGATACTTTTTTAAAGTTTATACTTTAAACCCTTTAACCCTTTTTTAAAAAGTTTTGAGCACACAGTTTGTGGTTGTTCTCACCAATTTTCAGGTGCTACCACAGCTTGCTCATTTAACCAGGGCAGAAGGAAGCTGATGTGCCTATCCAGGAGACAAATGGCACATGGAGAGGAGAGAGAGTTCAGCAGTATCCTTTGCTTTCCTTTCTATTCTCTCTCGCTTTGGACCAGATCATTGGAGATAAGGATGCTGACAGAATCACATGCTCATGAGAGGTAAAACTGTAGATTCCTCAACAACATAGCATTTCAGGAAACAAGTGTGAAAAAAAAAGCAAGGCAATTGACTTAGATATACTGATATCTCATTATTTTCAGGTGTGTTAAATGTTTTTGGTCAAAATACTACTGATTAGGTGTATGCAAATTACCAAAAATTACCAAACAGTTATTAGATTGTAGCTTGGATTCTTGCTTTCTTATGAGCAACCTGCACTTTAGCAACCAAACCTTCTGGGGGAAAAAATTCCTCAGCACACACTTACTAAGCACATTACTTTATAACTGTATTACCATAACCAAAGCAATGTCTCCCTGCACTTACTCATTATTCCATCTAGTTAATTCAGTACATGGACCACATGCCTATTAACACTGCATAGAAAACCAGTAAGAAAGATACATACATCATAGAATCATGGAATCATAGGGGTTGGAAGGGGCCTCTGAAAATCATTGAGTCCAACCCCCTTGCTGCAGGAGGAATACCTAGAGCACATCACACAGGAACGCATCCAGGCAGGTCTTGAAAGTCTCCAGAGAAGGAGACTCCACAACCTCTCTGGGCAGCCTGTTCCAGTGCTCTGTCACCCTCACAGTAAGGAAATTTTTCTGCATGTTGAGGTGGAACTTCCTGTGCTGTAGCTTGGTGCCGTTTCCCCTTGTCATATCACAGGGCATCACTGAAGAGACGAGCCCATTCTTGACACCTACCCTTCAGATATTTGTAGACATTAATAAGGTCCCCTCTCAGTTTCCTTTTCTAGACTAAATAGCCCTGGGTCTCTTAACCTTTCCTTGTATGACAGGTATTCCAGTTCCTTAATCATCCTTGTAGCCTCTGTTGGACTGTTACCAGCATATACTTGTCTCTCTTGAACTGAGGAGCCCAGAACTGGACACAATACTCCAGATGTGGTCTCACTAGGGCAGAGTAGAGGGGCAGAAGAACGTCCCTTGACCTGCTGGCCACGCTATTCTTAATGCATCCCAGGATACTACTGGCTCTCTTGGCCATGAGGGCACATTGCTGTCCCATGGATAACTTGTCCACCAGGACCCCAAAGTTCTTCTCCATGGACTCTATGCTTTCTAGCAGTCAAACAGAGGTTGACAAGAGGTCAACCCCTAATCTGCATTATGAAGCGGTCCTAAAAGAACTCACCTGGGGGAGATGAAACCATGAGTCTTCTCTTTCACAGATTCTGATCTGATAATCTTTGGCTCATCAGCAATTCATTACCAAATTGACACAAGCAACAGAGGATTCCCAGGTGTACAAATAATCTTAGTAGGCCACTTATCAGCATTTTACATGTAACTTTGTTGCAGTGACAAAAGTGCTCAATTCTGCAATTATAAGGTGGGAATATAGGAACATCACACGTGCAGCCCATCGGGCACCACATCTAAATACAAACTGTCAATAAAGTCTGAGTAAAAGCAGGACAATAAAATACAATGTATATTTTCATTTCAAGACCAAATTGCAGCTAGACACAAAAATTACTATTCTGAACATTTGTAAATTACAGCTGCATAACTTAAGTCTCAACATCTTTGTATTAAGCACTGAACTTGTACATTAAAGTAGGCTTGTCAGATAGCAGTAAAGCATGTGATAGTGAAAAACACCAAAAAACTGTGTTTTTATAAAGCAAGTAGTTGTGTTTAACACTTAATGATGTCACTGTAGAATACATGGGCCTTTCCACAACTCTTCTATCTTTTATATAATCAAAAAATCAGCTAGATCACTGAAGCAACATTAAAAAATATACTTTTGTTAAGGCTTTATAGCCATCTCTTTTCTGTACTTAAATTTTGAGTATAATAAATTAATTTAGGGATGCTAGAAAAAAACTGCATGAGGCATTAGCTTGGATCTAAGGTTTATGCGTTAAAGTCTTCCTATGAAAATTACTGATTTAGCTTATAATATTTATTAGGCTATGAAATGCTGTAGTGGTCAGGACTGTAGGTTGTGTGTTGTGAGATTTTTTTGGGTGTGGATTTTTAATTTTTTTTGGTTTTTCTTTTGGTATGGTTTTTTCATGGTTGGACTCAGTGATCTCAGGGGTCCTTTCCAACCATGACTATTCTGTGATTCTCTGAAATTCTGCAAATCCCCATTAATCTGTTCAGTGTCCCCTATATCAAAACATTGCTTTAAAATAATTGCTTTAGCAAACATGAGATTTCTGCATGCAAATTCAGCACACTGTATGAGAAATACAAGGGAGAAAAACATGCTTCGCTCAGAGCTCATGACATACCATAAGTTATAGCTAATATTAAGATTAGCATTTTAAGAACAATGTTAATTCAATGTTCAGTGACTCTAGTAATTTAGGGCTGACAAAAAGTAAGCATCAGTTACCCCTTCTACTCTTTTTGTGAACTGCTCCAGCAAAAATACTTGCACATACCTAATTTAACACCAAATACCTACATGCTAATTTCTTCTTCATTGGATAAATGCATCACTAACATGGTGACATGCAGTGAGCCAGGGTGAACCATTGCTTTGGAAAGCCTTTGATCCTGTTGTATTATTGCATCTTGGACAGCCCGAACACTGCCAGTAATCTGGAAAGAAAGTCAGATGCAGAAACAACAGTTAGCCATTGCAATTACTGTATCCCATCATGCAAGTGAACAAGAATGCACACAAACTGAAATCAAATGTTTATGTAAAAATCCTTCTAGCAGAAGAAAGTTTTATCCCCTGACAAAGCTGTGCTAATTGACCCAAGTAAACTCAGACAGGGTACAAATGGAGTGATTAATAAATCACTGGACACTTCTCATCACATCTTAACAAGAGTTTGCTTCCAAAAGTATGATAGATTCCTGGAGCACATTAAGATCATCCAGTTTTACACTGCCAATAATCCAAATAAAAGGCTTGTTCAAGGACTTTCTCTGCCCACTTTGATGAATCTGTATGATTATGTGCACAGAAATATCTGGAAAAAGAAAGAGATCTTTGCAGGATCAGACACATAGAAAACAGAAATATTCAGTAAATAATTTGTAGAGATATCAGATTTACAATTCTAATTATACTGTCCAATAGACAAATATAATTTATATACTCTCTTCAAACATATTTTAATTAATTTCAAGATACAGTTCTAATTTCATCAGTCTTTTACTTTAAAATTATTTTAATTACATTTTTTTCACTAAAAATTATTTGTATGGTTATGCATACTTTATAAATTGTATAAAAAATGTTTACTGTGCTCATATTGCAGTTATTTTTTAAAATAATATCACAAAAGATTTTGTAATAATTCTTGAAACATTAATGGAAACTAAATCAAATCAAATCAAAGAACCTCGACTATCTGAGAAAAATGGTTATTTCTTAAAGCCAAGACATTACAGACAAATCAGCTTTGGTGTATAAAGTCTAAAAGAAGCATGTACAAATCTTCAATCTGATTTTTTTTTATTTTATTTGAAACTCAGTGGTAGCTCTGTTAATGATAAGGAACCCACAAATTTCCAGAAAAAAACCCACAATCTATTGGGAGGGGTCAATATTTTTCTGACCTAACTCCTTAAGCTGAGCTTTGCCATGCAGAAGTTTTACCTAATGTGTCGTAGATATCTAGTAGTGTCACATAAATAAAAACAAAACATAACTGAAAGAAACAAAATCTAGGGAGAGTGGTGAGGAGGAAGGTAAAAGCCACTTGCCAGAAAAAGGTCATATGGTACGTACTAAACCACAAGTGTTTAGGTAGCATAAGACGTGAAGAAAATTGCACCAACATTTTGATCATAAATCATGTTGCAATAAGACCATCTTCCTTCATGTCAGAACTAATCTTATCCTGGATAAATAACACTTCTATTGTCTCAGATGTAGGAGAAATCTGACCCACCTTTAAGCAAAAAAATGGTAAACATAACCCCTGGTAATTATAATGCACTGACTGCATAATTATTTTTAATTTATAAACTAAAGCAAATGCTATTATCCCCATAAAGAAGAAAAACAAGACCTAAACCTCAAAAATCAAACAATCTATCACATATATTACAATTTATTCCATTTTCAACTATTGCTTCTAAATTTAATTTGCACCTGAGAGCTGGCAAAGAAAAAAAAGGTAAGCTCTTGAGAACACAGAAGACAGGTGTGGAACTGTGTTATCATAGCAGTAAGACCACCCTAGCTCTGAAAAGATCAACCCTCTCCAGCATTCAGATTAGCAACCAATACCCCACATGCCCTTACCCATGGTGGTCCTTCAGTAGTATTCCTGAGTCCCCTACTCTCATGTCCTAAACTATCTCCAGCTCCTCATACAGTTCAGTTCTGGCTTAGGCTGCAGCTGATTTTCAGCTGTGAGGGCTTGACTGGCTAACAAACATGCAGATATTAATTTGTCAGCTGGCAAGTCTGGAATAGCTAATTGCCACACTCGCACTACGGTCTTCAACAAAGCATGTTCCTTAAAGGCTCTCTCTTTTACACAAGCACGAATTCCACAAAAAATGTAGGAAATTAGTATCTCTGTCCAAATTTTTTAGTCCAAATTTGGACAACAGGGTGAAAACTCACAAAAAGTTCAAAACCCACAAAAAAACAATGGGGTTATAACAAGGTAAACAGATAGGCAAGCTCACACCTGTATAAACTGTTAAGAAATGACACTAAAAAACAAATTAAGAAACCATACCAAAAAACTAATTAAGAACACACTTTTGGAACAGGATTAATTCCAAAAATGGCCAGTCAGCAGTTCCAGAGACAAGCTATTGGTAAACTCACCAGGAAAGTATGAAATGAGCTGCCTTTTTGATAAAGGCAAAACAGAAAGAATACTGAGCATGTTCTGTCTCTCTGGCTTAAGTGACAACATTCTACAGAATCCACACTATTCAGAATGAAGAAAAAAAAAAATTCAATTACATTTTTGTGAATTTAAGGAATTTATTTTTAGGATATTTTCCCAGAGTTATGTGATCAAAATGTAACACAATAGCTGTAGTGTAGCTGTGCCATCAGAATGCATAATATAACTTCAGAATCATTCTGTATTCTTCAATAAACCTAAGGTGCAATTAACAGTTGAGTGTGCTGAATTTTAATTAAGTGAATCAGGACTCATCCTACACATCTGTACAACTTTTATGAGCCATTGCATAAATAAAAGCTTTACATTTCTACTTAACCCGCTATTTACACTATCTTACAAGTTTCATGTTAGATTTAAACTACTATCATGCTGACTATCTCTTTAAACTTGAGGTTTCCTCACCTAACTAAAGAAATGTCTAAAGGCAGATCATACTTAACAGCTGCCTCCTCAGGTGATTTTAAAAAGTGCTTCAAAATAGGGCTTCAAATACTTAATTCAAGGTCCCCTGTCCCATTACTCGGAAGATTCTATTCTGAAGAGTAACAGAGTAATAAAATAACTTAGCTGTCCTTGTTGCAAGGACACTACTAGTAAGTGAATATATTTACTACAAGCTTTAAAGACTTAACAGATTAATTACAATTATAATCAAGACTGGAGGTGATACTACATTGGATGAAACATTATTTAAAAAAAAAAAATTCCCAGAAAAGGATACAATGATAATCGACTATTTAAATAATTTTACACAAGTAATAATGTAAAGTTCAATAAAGTTCAAAATTAATGGAACATAACATTTTCTTTCCGAAGATTCAACACATAACTAAAATGAAAATAAGGAAAATGTTTCACTGCCGAAAGGAATGGTTCATTAAATGTTCCCATATTACAAAATGGTTCTCTCTGTAAAGCTTAAAATACTACATAAAATATGAAGAAACAGCACTAATGCCTACAACACTACACTGGAACAAAATTAGATTTTCAACAAAAAAAACCCCAAAACAACAACAACACAAAAACACACCACAAACAAACAAAGAGAAAAAGTCTCCTATTATTAACTGAAATACTATCAGTAATTACCAGATTCCCTCTGGCTATCAAGAAACCAGATGTCCTAGCTCCAAATTTTAGATAACATTGCCTATATAAATTCCAATGTGTACTTTCTACTTTTGGAACAACTGTACATCTAAGGCAAGTATAAACAAAACTCTATAGCAAAGTCCAGGAATTCCCAAATGCTTTGAGATTTGATACAGTTGTTCCTTTACCTCTGTAAATGATAGAAGACTAAATACAGGGCATATAAAAAAAAACATTGCATAGTTAAGACTTTTCCTCTCAAACAGCCATTGAACCGAATAGCAATTGTGAGCAGGAATCCTCAATTATCAGATTATATAACCCTACATTATTCATGCACTTGTTAAATCATGGAACTGAAAGGAAGAAAGATACTTCAGAGTAAGAGGGCACAAAAGATCTCCCACAATGTTTGTGTCACGTTATCCTGGATCTTACAAAACCACCCTTTGCAATCTCTTCTACACATAGGATGTTTTGAAGAATCCAAGACTGCACTGTAGTTTCCAAACCTACTTTAGTATATTTTCATTTCAGATTCTCTAAATCTTTGACAATATGAAAACAGATAATACAAATGTGAGTTAAAATTCACCCAAGCTAGCTCCTGGTATTAAAAAATAAACCTAAATTTGGAAATGGTGGTGAACTGTTTGGTTTAATTTTTTAAACACAATGCACATATTTTCCCTGCTTGCAGACACAAAAGGAATCAAAGCCACACCGAAGACGTCCTACAGCGTGTCAGAAATCATTCTCATTCACTGTCTAAATGAGGTAACAAATGCTAACTAAAATAAAATACATTTTTGTAGAAAGCTCTCTGCACTTCTTGAATCCATTTGAACAACACCTCACTAAAACAACAGGTTGTTTGCATTTTAAATAAGATGATCAATTTTACTGGAAAATGTTAAGTTACAAACTGCCAAGTTAAAACATCAACAGATCCAAATTTAAATTCCTATCTATAAGGAGAGCTAAAAATATTGCTACGGATTTTTTTTTATTAAATTAAATAGGAATGTCTCCCTTATTCTAAGTGAATGACAAAACAAGCAATAATGGAACAGTACACAGAAGTTTAAGCCAGCTTCAGTTAAAATAATGTGAAATTGTAAGGACTGACAAACTGATTTAAAAGATAAATATTTTTCCTCTAGTCTTATCCAGATAAGCAAATTTGTTCACAAAAATGTTACATAAAGTTATTCCCTGAATAGGCTACTAACATTCCTTTAAGAAGACCTGAAAAATGTTATTTTGCTCAAGATCAAACACTGTTCTTCTTATAAACACACACAGCTGAAGTGGTTATACAAAATTAGTAAAATAAAGAATATCACCTCTGGATTAGTAATTGGAAGAGAAATGAAATAATTTGGCTGATGCTGTTTTTTCTTTTTCTTCTTTTTCTCAGTGCCTTCTTCAGTTCCCCCTCCAGTAGTCCTCTTTCTTTTCTTTTTTATATTTATTTCAGAGGTTGCATGCACTGAAAAAAAAACCAAACTTTCACCATACAGACAAATCAAAACAAAGACATACTTAATACCGTGCCACCAGGAGCTGAACTTCAGTCAACTAACTGGAGCATGTCTTCCAAACCATCTGATCTGCCCATGCTCTGAGCTGTCTGATGGGGATCCTACTCCAACCTCAATTAATGTAGTCACACAAGTGGAATATCATACTTGAACAGCCAACACTTCTAAGGAGGGCCTGTAAGATCCTAACATAGACATGTAGCTTCCAAACTGTATTTCATTTAGCCGACTCACACTGTAGTGGAGTAGGCCTGCAATTGTCTGCACTTGAACAGGGATGTAACTTTAGAGAAAAAGGGCCAATATTAATGTCCTGGTTTGAGCCAGGATGAAGTCAATTGCTATAGTGCCTGGCCCAGGTGCTCCGTGCATCCCTGGCATAGACTATCTCAATTAATTTTAAAAAAACCTATGCACACTGCATTTTGAAATACTGAAATAAGATAATATAAGGGATTATTAAAGGAAAAGGTTGTATTAGACTAGGATTGGCCAACCTATAATACAAGTACCAAACTCAGCCCAGAGGAAAATTTAATCAAAGCCAGATTTACTCTCTGCTTCCTCCTTTCCCAAAGGCTGCTTCCATCATCACAAAAGAAAAAGTGCACGTCCCTGGTTCTTCCTTTGTGCCATAAATTATTTCTCTCCTAGTTTATTACCTCAAGACTTCACAGACCCCCTCCCACCATGTGGCCTGATACATATCCATAAGCTGACCAGGCTGCAGACACTTGCTGTCCAATGAGACATGCACTTCCAGCCCCGTGCTGAGAAGACATGTATTGGAAGACAGCTCACAAAAGTCATCACTTGAGAAGTTCATGTACAGGAAAGAGAATTAACACAGGAGATGTCCTTATTCTGTGACTCATTGCTGCAATGGATCACAAAATGGTACAGTCTTAATATGCTCAAATATTTCCAAGGTTTAGGCTCTGGACTGGATCCCATGTTCACAGGGAGACTGGGCTCCATGTGCACAGCCCACTTCTACATGCCAACAGGCAGGACCAAGAACTGAATGTGTGATGTGTCTACGCTGTCACTTCTGTCTAATACACTTACTAAAAAATTCATCTTCAATATCTGTGTCGACAAATGGCATTTCTGCCATCAGAGATTCTACCGAACCAGCAGGACAAGGCTCTTTCCTCTGTTGTGTCATTTCCTTGGTCTTCTTCAGGATTTTCTTTTGCTGTACATCTTCCAGAGCATCTAGAATGTATTTTAAATAACACACTGGGTCTTAGTTTTTTTATACAAACAGCTAAGAGACATTATACTCAAACAATATACCAAGTATACATTTCTCTAATTATCAGCAAGTGACATGTTAACCCCCCTAAGAATGCTGCTCTTCTTCCAACATATCTGCAAAAATACTTCAACGCTTTATATGAAATAGCAAAAAAAGGGAGTTCAGCCTTCTATATTTATTAACTTACGGTCTTGTTTAGTTCTAAGTAAATGCAATTACATGCAAGAAAGGTGGTAGGTAACAGTAACAGCATATAAAAGTCAAATATTGGTTAACTGAATTCCAATGTAAGCACACTGAAAATGAGGCACGGAAGAGCAGGAAGGGAATGCTGCCATTCCACATATAACAGAGTTCTCAGCTGATGATATCATTCAGGAATGAGATGATTATTCCTGCATCTTCCACACAGTGTAACTTTTTACAGACAGCAAAGATCTGAACTGATTCTAAAAACTGACTTCCAGTATCTAAAGGAGGAATCAGTAAAAATCAAGACTCATCTTGCATGTATAAAGATATACATGAAGTTCTATCTCAGAGTAATACCACAATGACAGAAAAATCTCCACTAACAAGTTTTTTTAAATGCCTTTTCCCCCCCGAGTACTAAGCATGAGTAATTTCCTTATGTCTCCTCCATGTTTCTGTATCAGTGAACTCTACTATTTGCGTATTAAGTTATACCTCAAAACAAGAAAAAGTAAAATCCTCTCTAGCAGCAAAATATGCACACATGATCAGGCAACCAGCAATATTCTTTTTGGGACAACTCCACAATAGGATTACTGTAGTGGAAGAAGCCTTGTGTCAGAATTGCAGTTTATCCCAGGACAGCTCATTACTACAGACAACACACTTTCAAAGCTCCTCTTATGACCACTGCAGATAGTCCAAATCTTGCCCAAGGGGAAAATGTGGCAGCAAAAGTGCATATTATGTTCTTTTGCTCTGCACAGCTACACTACATGTATAAAATTAATATAACAGACCCAACCTGGGTTATTATCAACCTATGCTGAATGCTTCTTTCATGTATCACTTCACACTAGTAAACCAACCTGATTTAATGTTAATTCACTCTAATTTAACATAGGGAGGCATAAATAACTCTGTGGTTGCGGTCAGACATCTAACTATCCCAGAGGCTATCAAAAAGAAACAGTGTTTAGATTTGTTGCTGGTTTCCCCTGTAGTCACTATAGAACCAGGCACAAACAAACAGATGTTAAAGCAAGTACAAAAGATTGTTGCCTGTGATCCACAACCATACAGAAAACAACAATCCTCTCAAAGAGATCTCAAAGTGAAGAACAAGTCAGAAATTCATGACACCGACAAACAAGTAGGTAACTCTGGGACAGAAGTTATCAGCAATTTACGGTAAGCCTCGCTTATAGAGGGGAGAACTGAAAAATCACGTGTAAGAAAACGGATTTGACTGCGCTCCTTTCCCAGACTCCTCTCCATAATCAAATTATAGGTTCAGACACGATAAGCTTCTATTGTTTGACACCTGCACACCAGCCATCGGAGCGAGCAGCCACTCCCTATTTAATGCGGTTACGTCCGTATGTTTAGGAACACGTGAACTGTCTGGAGACAAGAGAAGTGAAAGCTGCTGTAGCCACCGACGGTCTCACTCCCCAGGAGTTCTGCGCTCCCGGCGCTGGCGCTGCTGCCCGCGCACAGCGCTGAAGAGGTTTTACACACGCGGGAAGGTGCGCTCTGCACAGGCAGGAAGGTGCCTGCACGCGCGGGAAGGCGCGTGCTCTGCACACGCGGGAAGGCGCGCGCACTCGGCGCGCTCTCCACGGCCGCTCCGCCCGGCGCCCCCGTTGAGCGGCTCCCCCCGCCTGCCCGACC